GGCGTGGGCAGGGGGGCCGCGGCCGGCAGCGCAGACACGTCGGCTCGGAGGGGCTTCCGCGGCGCAAACTTTCAGGCGTGCCCTGAACGACGCCTTCGGGGCTGGGCCTGAGGCCAGCACGCCCTCTCGCCCCCTCGCCTCGCTGCGCCGCCCCCTAAGACCTTCCCCAAGTGTTTCCCTCACCGCCCGGCCTCACCGACCCCTGAAGAAGCCGCGTCTCCGGATTCGGGATCCCACACTTCATGGGCCGGCCGCTGGAGGACCCGCGCGGGGGAAAGCGGCTGCTGAGAAGCTGGTGAGGGGCTGCCCCGAGACCCGCGGGAGAGGGACGGCCGAGAGCCCCAGCGAGCGCGCCCTCGGGGCGGAGAGCGCGGCAACCCGCGCCAAGGCGATGCCCGGGCGGCTGCGAGCCGCCGGCGGCAGGAGGCCCTGGGCGGGCATGCGCCTGGCATCCCAGCTATAGGGACCCTCGAGCCTCGTCCCTCAGCTCGGACTCGCCGTACCGGCGCGATGGCCTCGGAAGTGGTGTGCGGGCTCATCTTCAGGCTGCTGCTCCCCATCTGCCTGGCAGTAGGTGAGTGTGGTCGACTCGGCGAGGTTACTTGGGGAGGGCGGCAGGGACGCCCGGGTGGGGGGCTTCTCAGCCGAGTTAAGAGCTCTAGCACTCTGGGGATCTGTCCGGGAGGCGGGCGCAGTGGACCGGGTGCCAGCGAAGTCAGGCGCGCTGTCCCGGCGCCTGGGCCAGGCTTTCTCACTTCCCACTCTGGGGAACAGGATCGGGGACTCTCGGCCGTCCAGAGTCCCGGTGACCGGGTTAGGCATGTGCGGGAGGTTATTTGTGTGGAACTTAGTTAAGCGTGGATTTTCCTTTGGAGGGGTACTGACGCGCTCAAAGGATGCCAGTCCGGCTGGAGGGCTGTTGCAGACCCCCTTTGTAGGTCCAGCACAAGAGCGGATAGACCCCCACCCCAGCGTCCCCTGAGGCACAGCACACCGCGCACCAAACCATCTCTCTCCCACTCCAAATCCCAGCAACCAAGAGGGAAGACATGAATCTCTGCCGTCCCAAAAAGAAAAGGAGGGATGAGGAATGAAGAAACAGTGACATGAACTTTCTTACTTTCTTTGACCTCCACAAAAGTCCCTGCTGTGAAAGTGCTGGTGCTGAGGCTGTAGACCCACCAAGACCTGGTCCCGCCCACCCTACGCTCCTTCTCCAAACGTTCTAAGGACCGAGATTCCTTAAAACCCACAAGAGTAAAAGGGCCACGGGACAGCTCAGTCGATGCCCAGGCCAGCTCTTCACCACGGGGCTGGCGGGGCGTTCACAGGAACCCGGTATCAGGTCCAAAGGCAGCAGCGTCCAGGGAGCGGGAGAGTTGGAGTTTTTCCTCAAGCAGACAGTGCCTGGTCGCAGTGAATCCTTCCCCTAAGAAGGACCACTGGACAGCGCTCTCTCCCACGGGAGCTAGAATTTCTATCAGAACCCTTTCTACCAAGTGTCAATTGCATTTGCTAAGACAGCTTAGGCTTCCCTGGAAAGGTCACTTTTTTGCATCTTGCCTAAGGTTGACGACTCACAAGCTTACCTGTGCTGTATGATTTATTTGTGCACATAATGGAAAGGGGGGGACTCTAGAGTGTTTAATAAGGATTGATTTTGTAGTCAGGTGTTACAGATTGTGAAGTTAACAGATGGGTGTCTGCGAGACATCAACGCAAGAGACCTTTGCGGAAAACCCACCAAGGCTCTCAGGGTGGGAGCAAGCAGCAGCGACAGGGATCCTCAGGCAACAGAAGGTCTCCGCTGCAGCACCTGGCCTTGCCTTCTGCTCTGCGTTTGAGTTCCTAGGCAGACTGACTGGCAGGGATCTTTGTTCTTAACAGTCACTTAGGCGCATGAGGAGCACAGCTTCAGCACTCCTAAGGCACCCTCTCTCCCTGCCAGTTCAGGACACAGTTCAAGGAAGGGTTTCTTTAGGTGTGATACCCAGGAGGTGGTGTCAGTCTGGGGATCACCTCTGGCACTGTGCCTGGCTCATTTGTATTTGCAGACTGGAAGCTAGGTCCGATCTGTGGTCTTGGGTGCCAGTGGGGTAGTGGGACAGGGAGTGGTACTGGAGTCAGAAGTACCACTGGTCTCTTCTCTTTCCAAAGCCTCTCCATCCACTCCTCAGCTTCCTCCTCTCTTCCCTTCCTCTCCCGGGCTGCTCCCCTCCCCTTTCCTCTCCACACCCAGCAGGAAGCAGCTCCCTGTGACTGTGGAGTTAGGCAGGTGGGCATGTGCAGCCTGCTAGGTCCACTGTGTGATTGTACCATCAGCTAAGTGAAATGGCAGCAGGGTTTGACCCTTTGGTTGTCCTCACCTCTCCAAATGTATGGGCTCTTGCTGGACTTGGCTTACTTGCCTCCATGTGGGGGAGGAGTGTTTGGGGTTGTGGTTCTGTCATTCTGCCTGACCCCTGGTGGTCTAGTCCACAAAACCCTTTAGTAGACTTTTGTGTTCTGTCTGGCTGTTCGGAGGCTGGGGGTGGGGGGTGGGGGTGGGATGATATGGTGAGGTGGGGGCTCAGGATACACAAGTACCCTCTGGAGCCCTAAGTCCTTTGGTAGGAGCCTGGGCTTCCAGGGGTGCCATGGTAGTAACCTCAGATCCAGCCTCCTTATTCTTTTTAGGACAACTGAGTTGGCCCAGAAGATTCTTGGGTCATTTTTTATGGCCAATTAATTTCTCTGGATCCCTGCACTTTTCTGGATATAGGAAGGCTAGCCTGTGTGTGTGTATGTGTGTGTGTGAATCTGTGCATATGTGTGTGACAATCTACATGTACAGGAATGTGAATGTGTTTCTGTACTAGAGTATGAATGCTGGGGTTAAATGTGTTCCAAGTATGTGTGCTGTGAGTATGTGAATGTGAGTATGATTGTGAATGTGAGGGTGTGAATGTATGAGTTTGTGTTATGAGTGTGTGTGTGTGTGTGGATGTGAGTATGAGTGTATGGAGGGCATAGACGACATTGCTTGCTCAACCCTAAGCCTGTTGCTTCTGGTGGAAAGCCTGGCTCAGAAGAAAGTAGAGGTGGTAGACTTGCCTTTGGAAAAGAGCAAGCTCATGGGGGAACCTGAATCAGGATCCCCTCACACGTTGGCTGTTGTTTAGGAAAGATATAGCCCACACCTTGAAGGTTAACGGTGGCTTCTAATCGCTCTACCTGTCGGGACAAAAAAGGGCTGGATAGATGTCACCTGATTTGAGCATTTCATTCTCTTCTTCAGGAAGTGGAGCATTTCAAGGTTATTGGAGGATTTTGAGGTCTGCCTACTCCCAAGGTGCTACTAAATCAAATATTCAGGTTTCCCTAATATCCTGAGCATGGAGACTGCAATGATATGTTTGCCATTAGAATCGATTTAACATTTTAGGCATCTATTTTTATATCTGGGTATAGCAGCCTTCAAAGCCAAACCTTTGCAGATGCCTATATATTTTTCCTTTATACCTGTTTCTGTAGCACCGATGCTGAAAATTTCCTGTAGAGAGAAACCTTAGCCTTTTCACCTCATGGCTGGTATTAAAAATTGATTGCTGTTGGATTTAATTGGATGTTTACAGTTTTCTCCCCTTATTCTTTGTGAAATTAATTTAAATGGAAGTGATAAATGAAATCAAACCTCTTCTGGGCAGGTGTTATGTGATTCTTGAGTGTTAAAAGCAAAACTAAACCATAATAGAGTTATTTACCATCCAAAATGAATATTCGGTGATAGATATGCCCACATCTATAGTGCTGAAAAATTAAGTATCCCCAGGTTATCTAAGAGTACTTTGAAGCCATTGGACTTTTTTTTCTTACACATAACATATGAAAAAAGTCAAAACCTTCTATAATATTGTGCAATTTTAAATAATTATAATCATATCTGATAATTGTGTACTTTACAACTATTTTTACATTTATTTTCTTTTAACAAGATTCTATGTGTCAGCCATCTTTAAGTATATGGTTTGAGTTTATTCCAGGGTCAGGAACAGACTGGTGTATTTTGATTTACATGCTTTTGACACGTTCATTCCATCTTGCTTAGTGTTGCCTAGAGTTCTCTAGAAGAATCTACTTGCTTGGAGAGGGGGAGGAAAGCCTGGTTTGGAGTAGATGGAGGGAGAATTGGAGGAGCTGAGGTCATGGTGCAATGAGATGACCAGTGCTTAGGAAAGAGCAGAGCAGAAAAGGGCACTGTGGAACACACAAAAAAGGATCCACCAGCTAATGCTCTGAGAAAAAAATTACCCTTGGCTAATCTTACAAATCCAAGAAGAATCTCTAAAATTATATTTTTGGGTAACTGGACTAAAATTTGAGTAAAAAATAAGGCTCCTTTTGAAATAAAGAAAAGCATAGCTATGTAAATATAATCTTCTCTCCATAGCATAGTCTATTTTTTCCCTATGTAGCATATGTAAATTTTGAATCACACACAGTCCAAGAATTACAAGTGCAGCTAATTTCTAAATGATCAGTGTTAGCCTCCGCCATCACTGCTGCTGTAGCTCTCAGTGGTAGGAGGTTTGAGCTGTTGAAAGATCCATTGAAAACATTTAAAAGAACTTTTATTTTTCTGGCACACCTTTCCAACCATACATGGCTAGATACTATTTATCACTTTTGGAAACCAAAAATATAGGTGGAAAGAATTAGAAATTTACATTTTAATTCTAAAATAAAATATTTCATGAACACAAATGGGCATCACACTTTGTCCCTGAGCTACAGAAGCTGGAGTTTTGTGTCCATCTTGTCATTCTATAGATGGATATGTTGCTTCACAGGCGGTGTGTGTTGTTCATAGTCAGAAATGGGCAGATGGTTTTGGACTACAACCTTGGGGAAGGTTGGTGTGATCTTTACTGTGTGATTGCAGAGTTGTTTTTGCTAGTTTTTTTTTTTCTCTTTTCTTTCTGTAAGAACGGAGATAGTCATCCCTCCTTCTTTGGGTGGTTGTGAGAGAGTGTACAGTGTGAGAGTGTGAGAGAGGTTGTACAGTGCCTGACACACTGCAGGTGCCACATGGCATCTATGAAGCTGAGCACAAGCGGGGAATGTCTTAGTGAGAGTAACAGACTAACAAGTAGTAACACTGACCAGAGCAGACTGATATGAGTACATGGGATTGATGTGACAGGAAGTTGTGCCATTGTAGCGCCCAGTTACGCTCAAGTTGATGTTACGTGTGTGTGTGTGTGTGTGTGTGTGTGTGTGTGTTGAGGGGGCAGGGATATTTTAATTACTGGGATTTTCTTGCCTGCTTTACTCAACATGTAGTTTAATAGTATAATAATAGTAATAATAATACCTTAATTAATAATAATATATTGGGTTGTAAGAAAAATCATGATGCATTTTTCTATGCAAAAATATGTCATGACTTTTCAGATGATCCAATAGCTTAAGTTACATTCTTCTGATTAAATAATGTGCTCTCCCTAGAGCTATAATTATAGTGTTTACTTTTGTCTTTCTCACACTATACCATTATTATTATTTTTGTTTTGAGAGGTTTCTTGCTATAAGGTG